AGGAGGAGGTAGTGTACCCTCCCTCACCCTTCTCATCACTCTCCCTTGTTTCTCACCCTCACCCTCATTCTCCATCAATCCTTTCTACCTGATCGTCTCCTCACCGCCTCCTCCTCCTCCTCCTTCCTACAGCTGCTTCCCATTCTCGTTGTTCATCTTACCCTCCACCACCTCTCCCTGTTCACTGTTCACACCTGTTCACACACATTACATAGTTTCAGTAATTACCAGGTGTTGACTAATTACAGGTGTGAATATAAACAAATGAAGGCAGGTATATACACAACACCTTAAGAGCTTAATTAAATCTTTGAGTCGGTAATGGGGTGTGATACTGTCCCCAGGTGAGTTAGTTAATTAACACCTTTTTTATATCTCACCTGGCTGAAACTTTTTATCCCAGGTGAGGAATGTTTCTTTTCCATTAGAGTCTGGAGGTTAGTTGATATATTGTAGAGTAATTAGTAGTTCAGCCTTGTTAAGTAAGTTGAATTGTGTTACGGTGGTTTGGAGGTGTTTGAGCAGGTGAGGTAGTTGTGTGTACCTAATATTATACTTACATACATACATACATACATATACAGTATACATACATACATACATACATACATACACCATCTTGACGGTATGTACGCACTCCAGAGGTACCAAGGAGGAGGGTTGTTTGTGTAGTGGAGGAGGAGGTGGTAGTAGTGGTAACCAGACACCTCAGGAGAGACTAGGGGGGAGAGGAGAGAAGAAAGAAGAACAGAGAAGAAGAAACAGAGGAGAGAGACCCACTCTTCCTTCCTTCCTTCTCCTTCCATCACCCCTCACGCCTCCTTTCCTCACCCTCCCATCACCCTCCCTCACCGCTCCTCGTCTCCCCTCCCCCTCACCCCCTCCCCATCACCCTCCCCATCACCCCCTCCCCATCACCCTCCCTCACCCCTCCCTCACCCCTTCCCCATCACCCTCCCCATCACCCCCTCCCCATCACCCTCCCCTCACCCCTCCCCTCACCCTCCCCATCACCCTCCCCATCACCCTCCCTCACCTCCCCTAGTCTCACCCCTCCTCCCTCATCACCCTCCCTCACCAGCCCAACCTCCCCTCATCACCCCTCCCCCTCCCCACAAAGGAAATCATCCCGCTTATGATAATTGGAATTCGTGGTGTTTGAATGTGGTAATTACACAGGTCATTCAGGTCTGAGGAGGAGGGGTGGGGAGGGAGGAGGGGGGAGAAGGAAGAGGGAGGTAGATGATGATGATGTGTTGTCTGGTGCTGTTATTGCTGTTATTGACTGTTGTTATTGTTATTGCTGTTATTTACTGTTATTGTTGTTATTTAGTGTTTTTGTGATTGCTGTTTTTCCCTGCTGTATTTTTTTCTTTGTTATTATTGCTGTTATTTCCTGTTGTTTCTCCCGTTGTTGTTATTGTTATTTTTTCTGTTGTATTTTTCATTGTTATTGTTTTTTATTCGCTGTTCTTGTTGCTGTTGTAGAATAAAACTTACTACAGCTTTTTTTAAAGAGACTGCCCACCCCCACACCCCCACCTGTGTTGTAGTTTATATAGTGAGCCAATCAGACACGTTTTCACATCACCAGGTTAAGACCCCCAAAATTTTACCTGAGGAGGACAGTTAATCCACACCTTGTCGTCATCTGTGTGTTCTGTCAGGTGTTTTAGTAAGGACCAGGTTAAAGAGGGAGAGAATGAAAGAAGGAAGAGGGAATGAAAGAAAGGAGATAATGTAGGAAGAGGGAATGATAGAAAAGAATTAGGAAAGAAGGGGGAGAAGAGGAGGTGAAGAGAGAGAGAGGGATGAAAGATGTCAGAATGAAACATAATAAAATTGAAGAAAGAAGGAAAGGTAAAAATGAGAGAGGAAAGAAAGAAGGAAAGAAAGAAAGAAAGAAAAGCTGGAATGACTCTCACATCAACACGTCCATCAGAGTTCTCGTTATTTCCCGGAGTGTAAACAGTGAAAGGAGGAGAAAGTGTGTGTCACAAAGAGGAGAGAGAGAGGTAGAGAAGGTAAGAAGGAGGAGGAGGAGGAGGAGGAGGAAGTAGAGAGAGAGTTGGGAGAGGGGTAAGAAGAGGGTCCTCACCACACTGCCCCCTCACCACACCGCCCCCCCCACACCGCCTCCCCCATACACCGCCCCCCACCACCACACCGCCCCCCACCACACCGCCCTCACCACACCGCCCCCTCACCACACCGCCCTCACCACACACTGCCTCCCTCACCACACCGACCCCCACACACTGCCCCACCACCACACTGGCCCCACCACCACACTGCCCCCGCCCCCCCAACAACACAGACAGCTGCTGATTATCATTTAAATACAACAATGGAAAATGAATTTGTCGCGTATTACCATATACTCAATAGGGTCACCAGGTGTACTCATTATCGACACAGGCAGGTAGATTATTCGCCTCCCTTCACCTCACCGAATTATTTGATGAAGATGTTATTGTCATTTTCATAGACACTTTCTCTCTGTTGGTCATGTTCGGTGTTAGGTTAGGCTTAGGCTAAGTTAGGTTAGGTTAGGTTAGGTTAGGGTGTTTAATGATCAGGTGAAATAAGCTAGGGTGCCTAATCTTCTCAACCATCAGTCATTTTGTTCATCAGACTGTCATTTTGTTCATCAGACTATTTTGTTCATCAGACTGTCATTTTGTTCATCAGTCTGTGTCATTTTGTTCATCAGTCTGTCCTTTTGTTCATCACTGTCATTTTGTTCATCAGACTGTCATTTTGTTCATCAGACTGTCATTTTGTTCATCAGTCTGTCATTTTGTTCATCAGACTGTAATTTTGTTCATCAGACTGTCGTTTTGTTCATCAGACTGTCATTTTGTTCATCAGACTGTCATTGACCACTACGAATTTATACCTGCTTCGTTCACCGCTTGATCACCCGTAATTAAAATACTCTCGGGGTTAAGATCCAGATGTTATGATGTCAACAATGGCTACAGTAGACGCTATTAATAAACTCAATTGTTGGAACACTAGTTGGGTGGGTGAGGTGGGTGGGTGAGGGTGGGTGGGTGGGTGGGTGGGTGGGGTGGGCGGAAGCCACCTGGCAGGACTCTTGTTGCCAAAAAGGACACCAGAATCTATACTCACTTAAATAAACCCTCTTAAATATTGCACCTTAACCATAATCCTAACCATAACCTATCCCAATCCAACCTAACCATAACCTATCATCCTAACCATAATCATTAACCACAAGAGGTGCTCACTATCACTGTATTCGGTCAATGTTTTTCACAACTTGCCTCTGTGTGTGTGGTGGTGGTGTGGTGGTGGTGGTTGTGTGGTGGTGGTGGTGGTGGTGGTGGTGTGTGGTGGTGGTGGTGGTGGTGGTGGTGGTTGTGTGTTGTTGTGTTATTTACGTCAGTTGTAAGTGGACAAGACACACACACACAATCACACACACACACACATCCTTCACTCATTTGACCCTCTCTCTCTCTCTCTCTCTCTCTCTCTCTCTCTCTCTCTCACATGACAGGATATGACCCAGCAGTTGACAGGTGATGTACACAACTCAGCTGGTAGTGTCTGACCCATCAAGACGTGTTGGGGTCAGCGTGAGTCACAGGGCTTGGGAAATGACAGTACTACCTCGTTGGTCAAATGGGTCCTAGGTCAAACGGGCCCCACTCGATCTAGTTTACTCGTCATTAGTATTAACGAGGGGGTCTTGTCTTATTGGGGCCCCAGAATATAGGGCCCCTGATATAGTCTTTAAATTTCAGAATGGGGCCCATTTTACCTTCCTGATGCTGTGTGTGTGTGTGTGTGTGTGTGTGTGTGTGTCTGATATTCCACAGAAGGCCTTACTTAGGGAGATGGATTGAAGCCCTTTTGTTGATAATATGGTCACTGGGTCATGGGTCACTAGATCATGGGTTACAGGTCACTGGGCAGGCTGGGTCACTGTGACGACTGTGATATTACACAGGTAAGGCCTTTATTCTCACCAGGTACTGTGTGTGTGTGTGTGTGTGTGTGTGTGTGTGTGTGTGTGTGTGTGTGTGTGTGTGTGTGTGTGTGTGGGGTGGGTGTGTGTGTGGAGGAGGAAGAAGAAGAAGAAGAAGAATGACGAGTGAGTGGCTGTGCTTAGGAGAGAGAGAGAGAGAGAGAGAGAGAGAGAGAGAGAGAGAGAGAGAGAGAGAGAGAGAGAGAGAGAGAGAGAGAGAGAGACCACACACGGAAACAAACACCGACCCTTCAGCTGTTGTCCGCCTAGCAGGGAGGTCATCATAGCCTGTCCTCACGCCATCTCGTGTACCGTCCTCCCCATTCCCGAAGAAGTACCTGTGTCCATCGTCCTGAGGAACATTGTGTACTGTAGACCCTGGGTTACATCGCCTGTAATCCTCCACGTAACCTCCACCTCACGTGTATACCGAGCAGGAGGTTTATTGACATTGAATTCTCTTGAGGTTTTGAGTCTGATGCTTCATAAACAAGTAGTTCCTGCTTTACTGACAGATGGTGCGCTTCTCAGAGTAATTTTTGGTGTGTGTGTGTGTGTGTGTGTGTGTGTGTGTGTGTGTGTGTGTGTGTGTGTGTGTGTGTGTGTGTGAAGGTACCTGCACCAGTTCTCGCATGACGCCGCTGACTGCCCGTAGAGGAATCCAACCCTGGCGCACTAATCCTCGAGCGTTACTGACCCTCACGCCATACACGCCCGCCACCACGCGCCCCACACGCCCGCCACCACGCCCCTTACACGCCCACCACCACGCTCTTGCCTGTCTCCTGTTTCCTCCATTATCTTGATACTTTGCATACTAATCTCTCTCTCTCTCTCTCTCTCTCTCTCTCTCTCTCTCTCTCTCTCTCTCTCTCTCTCACACGCACACAAACTGCTTTATTTATTATTATTATTATTATTATTATCATCAACTGGTGTACATCTGGTAACATTGTTCCTCTGCATAACATTAATTACCTTTGTCTTTCTATCCTCCCTACAGGGCCATGCGGGGATACAGTGTCCGCTGGTTTGTGTCTTCACTCACGCCCACAACCACGCCCCTAGCCACGCCCACAACCACGCCCCCAACCACGCCCTCAACCACGCCCCAACCACGCCCCCAACCACGTCCCAGGGCAGGATGAAGGTGGTAGGGGCGTGGAGGAGACGGCTGCTGCAGCAATAACAGGTGAGGTGGGAGGTAATGACAGGTGAGGAGACAGGTAGTGACAGGTGAGGAAACAGGTAGTGACAGGTGAGGAGGTAGTGTGGTACAGGGAAGGAGTAGGTAGTGACAGGTGAGGAAACAGGTAGTGACAGGTGAGGAAACAAGTAGTGACAGGTGAGAGACAGGTAGTGACAGGTGAGGAGACAGGTAGTGACAGGTGAGGAAACAGGTAGTGACAGGTGAGGTGACAGGTAGTGACAGGTGGGGAGACAGGTAGTGACAGGTGAGGAGACAGATAGTGACAGGTGAGGAGACAGGTAGTGACAGGTGAGGAGACAGGTAGTGACAGGTGAGGAGACAGGTAGTGACAGGTGGGGAGACAGGTAGTGACAGGTGAGGAGACAGGTGTGGCCGCGGTGAGTATTGATCTTCGGCTTAACGGAATTTGTACCTGGCGTGTAACCTGGCGTGTACCTGACGTGGGGTTTAATTATTTACGAGACGTGTAATTAACAGCTGTGAAAACTATTGATAACATTAATGACTCACACCTAACCTAACCTCTCTCTCTCTCTCTCTCTCTCTAGGTCAAGAGTTATGATGAACCCGTATTAACCGTGAGCCGACACATTCACCTGAGCACCATTAGTTTCTATAGACCGAGCATGACCACTTAACACACACACCTCTCACGGCTCACCTCTTGAGTCAAAAACAAAAGCTCATGTGATGCTGGCGGTATTGAAGCTGTTAATGGTAGTTTGTGTGTCTCTTATTAACGGTCTAGCTGTTGTTATGTTAATGATGACGATAATGATGTTAGTGGAGGTACTTCTTAATTGGCTCTACCTGTTGCTTGTCACACGGGTTCACAGGTGATTTTATTGTTGTCTTGGATTAGGTTATGTTAGGTTAGGTTAGGTTAGGTTAGGTTAGGTTAGGTTAATGATTGCCACACCTTGATCATCCGGGGAGATATACCTGCAGGGGTTCACAGGTGTTATACGTGATTGTCCCTGGAGGTAAGAGGCCCTCACTCACGATTCATTATTATAACAACGCACCTACCACTCCCCCCCACGAACACACTCTTACTGTGACACCGATTTTCAAGTGCCTCTCACCTGGACGTCGATATCAAAGTGTGTTTACCTTACCTCCTATTCCAACAGGTGATCGTGGGTTAAAATGACTTTGTGATTTGTTACTCGTGAGCATGACACCTTTATGGAACTTACCTGAGGTTTCTTTAATTAGTGGAGATCAGGTAAATATCAGAATACCGTAATGATAAACTAAAACCTAAAATTAAAGTGATTTTGAGAATAAGGAAGAGTCGGTCATCATTTAAAGTAATCAATGGAAATGTAACTTGATTAGGTAATTTGTACAGGTGAGTTGATACAGGTGTTGGGTTATTAGGGTGGGTCACGTCCACCTCACCTGGATGGAAAGGTGTGCTGGAGAGGTATACCTGTGAGGGAGAGATTGACAAATGTTTACTCTGACATGATAGATTTTTTACTGACATGATAGATATTTTTTACTGACATGATAGATATTTTTTACTGACATGATACACATTTTTATTAACATGATAGACATTTTTTCTAACATGATAAACATTGTTGCTAACATGATAAACATTTTTTCTAACATGATAAACATTTTTTCTAACATGATAAACATTTTTTCTAGCATGATAAACATTTTTTCTAACATGATAAACATTTTTTTCTAACATGATATTTTTGTACACACAGACTAGATTAACCCACTGTTGTCCCCTTTCAATAAATAAATCCAATGTCTCGTTATATCTCACAGGTGGGGTGAGCCAGGAGGGACAGTTGTTAGTGGAGGTCCTCTGCGTCAGCCACCGTGACCTGGGGGCGTGTCTGGCCAGGTGCTGTGATTCGTCCCATCCTTACGCCCTACCACTCCCCGCCCCCCGCCTTCTCCTCCTGCCGGCACACGCCCTCTATGCCTCCCCACCGCGCCTTCTTCATATACTCAAGGTAAGATGAGTTAATTATGAGAGAATGTGTTTGTGTGTTTGGTTATTAGTTTTCCTCCTCCCTTCCTCCCCCCTCCCTCTCATCACCCCGTCCTTTTTATCCTCTGTCTTCCTCTTCCCCCTCTCCCCCTCCTCCCCCCACCTCCTTCAATCCCCCCCCCCTAAATCCTTCTCTACTCCCCTAAACGCCCTTGACCACTTCCTCCCCACACGCCCGTTACAGTCGGATAGAAGACCATCACCCCGGGGGCTCCTGCTGGTGGCATGTGGAGCGTGTCTCTTTTTCCTCCTGTAGGTGGGTTCTGACGTGTGACCCTTTCTCTCGTCAACATCTGCCTCGTGTTGTTCCTGCCCCATGAACACCTGTGACTTGTTGTTCCTGCCTCATAAACACCTGTGACTTGTTCCTGCCTCATGAACACCTGTTACTTGTTGTTCCTGCCTCATAAACACCTGATACTTGTTGTTCCTGCCTCATGAACACCTGTTACTTGTTGTTCCTGCCTCATGAACACCTGTTACTTGTTGTTCCTGCCTCATGAACACCTGTTACGTGTTCAGTGTTACCTAAGTGTAGCGTTGCCCATCCACTAACAACCTCCTCCTCCTCCTCCTAACCACCCCTCTCTTTCCTCTTCCTCCTCCCCCTCTTCTTCCTCCCCCTCTCTTCTTCTTCCTCTTCATCTTCCTCCTTCTCCTACTCATCTTCTTCCTCCTCCAAACATTCACACACTCAACATGGGTCTCTCTCTCTCTCTCTCTCTCTCACTATATGTAACTTCTCCCGTCTCTCAAATTAAGTAAATCTCTTAATATATATCTAATTACATCTTGATGATTAGATATGTATGTAAGTAGTTTGTATGAGTGTGTTTACTTTTGTGTACTTTTTTCTTTCACTAACTTTCAAAATCTACTTAAGTATTTTGTAAGTAAGGAAAGTAGAATGTGAGGAGTTACCGTGTGTGTGTGTGTGTGTGTGTGTGTGTGTGTGTGTGTGTTTCTCATTTAAGGTGTAAGTTTGTTATTGTTGTTAAGTGTGTGCTTGTTTATGTACGCAGGAACGGGTGTGGGCGTGGCGGGGTGACCTGCAGGTGTGGGTAGTGACGTCATCATCTACGCCCACACAACCCACCACTACCACCACCCAGCTCGTTACCTCCCATGGTCTACAGGTGAGTCTCTCTCTCTCTCTCTCTCTCTCTCTCTCTCTCTCTCCAGGTCCCACGGTCATTAGTGATAATGTGTATCAATGAAACATGATATATACTCATTATAAACCGTTATGCCCCTCGCTGCTCCACCACCCCCTGGCTCTACCACTATCATCACTACCAGTCTACTACCAGTCAATTACTGCTTCCTATTCTGCCACTACCACCACTCCAGGCGCCACCACTACCATCACTACTAGTCGACCACCATTTCCAGTCTACCACCACCTATTCTACAACTATCGTCACTACCACACTCACATGACAAAATCTTCGTATTTTGTCTTCACCATACCCCTCACAAAACACACACACAGACACACACACACACACACACACACACACACACACACACACACACACACATTCTGACGCCATAGAACAAGAAAACAAAAGTGGACCCAGGCGACAGTATCCTCTTGGGGGACGCCGCTCACTAAACACCGCATTATACGGCCCTTGATGACTCCCACCTGCAGTAGTTACAGGTGGAGCGTGAATCCACCCCCCCCCCCTTTGGAGGATTGAACGCCTTAACACCCACTAAATGACCGGGATTTATACACTGGAGGATTTCACCTTTAATTAATTGTGTTTTTCAGGTGATTAGAATTGTGTGTGTTTGTTGTTTAAAGAAGCTGAGGGCTGTTGAGCTCAGGGAGGAGGAACACCCAAGGAGGACCTCTAGAGGGGAGGTAAACATAGGTGGAACATAGTGGAACAAGTTGTCGAACATCATCATTAACTCGAACACGCTGGATAGCTTCAAACATAGGTTGGATGGATGTATGAGCGATAGGGGTTGGGTGTAAATGGAACTGCCTAGTATGGCCGCTGCAGTTTCCTTAATTCTTATGTTCTAATGTTCTTAATACCTAAATACCTAACTTACTTTAATTTGGTTTGGTTAAGTTACGATATTAACTTTCCTGAAACGTCTGCCAACGAATCATTTTTACTTGTGTCTTGTGAAGAAAGAATACAATAATCTTCCAGTAAATCTCACTTTTCCGGGCGTGAGATAAAGGTGAGGGTAGGCGGAGGCTTGTGGTATAGGAGGCTGTGTTGTTAACGAGGGAAATATGGAAATTAATCCTCTCGACCCACGGCCCTGTTGTTTGTGCTGGCGGGCCCCTCACTGAGCTTAACGGTGCTTCCCCCTCGCCCCGGAGTGTGCATATTATCACCTGGCCTTATAAAGTCCCGGATTTTCCTCTGTAACTGGAGATGTGAGGACGCTTCTCATTGGCTCACTCAAGCGATAACTAAGATGGTGGTCAAAATTAAACGATTCTTTAAAGGTCTTAGTGATTAGTTCAAGTTAAGCTGGGACAGAGCCTATTAGGACTGGGCCCATTAGACCTGGAACCAAACCCGCCTCGTATATTGGGTTAATGACGTTTACCTGGTGACTATAATTATCACCGGCACTTTATTGTCGATAAATTTATACGACCTCTGATGTGTGTGTGTGTGTGTGTGTGTGTGTGTGTGTGTGTGTGTGTGTGTGTGTGTGTGTGTGTGTGTGTGTGCAAGAGAATGAGTGTATTGTAATAAATTTGTGTTTTCATGTAATGTATGTATGTACGTATATGTGATTATTTTGTGTATGTGTATCCTCAGGTGTAGAGGCACAGGTAGAGGAGAGACAAGCCTTCACACCTACCACCCCACCTCCCCTTACTTCTTTATCTCCCCTCCCTCCCCCCTCCCTTCCCTCCCTCCCTCCCTCCCCTCCCTCCCTCCCTCCCCAACATTCATATACCTCAGACAAGATTCCAAGCCACATTTCTCCACACACTCGCCCCATTACGCCGCGTCTCACCTGTACAGCTCCCCAACGCCCAGGTGTTACGGGAGGCTGAGAGTAAGGGCGTATGGGTGACGTCACTGGCCAGGTAGATTCAGGTACTTAGGTATATTATCAGCACAGGTGAACACTACGACTCCTGTTGTCTCGGCAGGATTATAAAGTTTACTCGGAAGCGTCAGTAGGTGTGCGGTGGTCGAGTGGATACAACATTCGTCTTTTGTACTAAGGGATGGTGGTTCGTTCCTGTGGTATTCTTAGTCCAACCAGCTGTATATTTAGGTATAAAGTGACGTCGTTTAATCACTATAGGGACGGTACCTCGGAGTGTATCGATAACCATGTTTGTTGACAGTCCTTTGACACATTAACACGTGTCTTCTATACATGTTGCACCTGCCCAGTTGGTCGATCCTAACCAGTTCACCAGTCAGCTGATGAGTTACATGACTGGTAACTGTTGGGTGTTGTTGATTCTCCCTCACGTAAAGGCTCCAACATATGTTTTCCTTCAGTCTTTTTTCCTTTCTTTCTTTTTTTTTCTTTCTTTCTTTGTGAGAGAGTATCATGTTGGTTGAGGGGTTCAGGGTGTGTTTACCAGCCTGGCCACAGCAAGCACTCGGGGCCATACCACGCCACACCACACCACACCACACCACACCACACCACGCCACACACACCACACCACACCACACCACACCACACACACCACACCACACCACACCACACCACACCACACCACACCACACCACGCCACCACACCACACACCACACCACACTACACCACACCACACCACACTACACCACGCCACACTACACCACACCACACCACACCACGCCACACTACGCCACACCACACCAACATTCCCCTGACTCGTCTTGCTCTACACTTGACCTCGCTTAACCTGAGAATGTTAAAACTGGTCCACGTTTATCCGGATTTGGTTCAAGTTTGTGCCTGTTGCTAACTAAACAAACTTACACACATCCTTGTTTATATATTCCTCACAGGTTAAGTTAGAGGTTACTGAAGGATCACCTGTATTAATCATGCTCCTCCCCATCTACCTTGATGTTGTTGTTTGTTATAATGATTTGAACATAACTTTTACCACACATATGAAATAGTTCTTGTGTGTTTAAGCTAAAAAAAACCATTGAATTAATAAGTTGATTATAATGAGGTAGTAATAGGCCAGAGAGTAACTTGTGAACAGTAATACAGTTCCTAGACAGTGTTAAGTAACTTAGGGATATATGATACCCTGATAGGTGGACTTTATCATAACACTCCAACTGGCTTACTTCTGCCGGGAGTGTAATTGAGGATAGTCAAGGTGTCTGGTCTTGATAAATAAACATGTTGTCTGTCCGTGTTGTTGACTGTGTGGGGAGGGAAGGATTTGAGACGTGGGATCACCTGAAGATTAGAGCACCCCCTTCCCCTCCCATCGTTCCTGCCTCTTTAGGTTAGGTTAGGTTAGGTTAGGTTAGGTTAGGTTAGGTTAGGTTTAAGGTGAAATTAACTGTGGGGGCTAATCTTTATGTGAACCTTAATTCGAATGGTGTATATTATTTGTTTTCTTAATTGGATGTTTACCTGTTGAGTTGTGGGTGTTTAATTAATTATATCAGGTGAACTTTCTGGAGGTATTGGGTGGAGTGTTATGGTGGTGATTGTTCAGGTGTCAAGGGTCACTGCCACTCAGATCACCGCCGCCACTCAGATCACCGCCGCCACTCGGGTCACTGCCACTTAGGTCACTGCCGCTCAGGTCACTGCTACACAGATCACTATCATTCAGGTCACCGCCATTCAGAAGAAGGTGGTTGTTGGTGATGAGATTCGCTCGTTGCTCTTCCTTCCGCCAGACGATGGGAAAGGAAGACCCTAGTACCTGGCCCTCTCCCTTCCCTCTCTCCTACCCCCCAGAATCTAGTACCTCTCCATCCCTCTCCCTATCTTCCTAGTACCCTTCTCCCTCTCCACCCACGAAACCCTCCCTTCTCCCTAATATAGACCGGCCCTTGCCCCCCCCTCTTTTTATGTATGCTATGTTCTGACAACGTGAGACCAATGTACCGGCAGTGACTGATAGGTGCTGGAGCCTTAGAGGGGTAGAGAGGCGCTGGTTATCGTGTGTTCATTACTTTAGCCCCCTCCCCCTCTTCTTTCTTTTCGCCCCTCTTCACCCTTTTCTGCCCTTCCTTGTCCCCCTCTTCATTCTTTTCGTCCCCCTTCCTCTTCACCCTTTTCGTCCCTCTTCCCCACTTCACCCTTTTTCGCCCCTTCTTTCTCTTCCCTTCTTCTCTCCCTCCTTCTATCCCTCCTTCCTTCCCTCCCCCTCCCTCCCTTCCCTCTCTCTCTCCTTCCCCACGCCCCTCCCTCCATAAACACACTCACCCTCCCCCCATACCATCTCTAGCTACGACCTTGATGCTGTCCAGACTTGGGGAGGAGGGGGAGCTTGAGGGGCGTGGGGGTCCGTTCGTCCGTCCGTCCGTCCTCTTGGTATAATGTTGACTCGTGACTGATGTCGAATTCCCCAACCCAAAACATTATACCCATGATTCTGACGAGTATAGCACACACACACACACACACACACACACACACACATTACTATATCTTGACTCAACATTATACTCATCATAACTACCTTAGCTCATTATCATCATTACTGCATCATAAATCGAGTTAATTAATGTCATTGTCACCCTCTCTCTCTCTCATTATACCTTATTGTCTCGTGTTTGTGTCTCTACAGGCGGAGGTCATAAGCCAGCATGACCTACACCAGAGAGTGCCAAAGGACCAGTTGACCCCGCAGTTTGGCGGCACTCTGCAGGTGGACCACAGTGCCTGGCTCTCCTTCTGTAAGGTCAGTGCCATAGATAGATAGATAGATAGATAGATAGATAGATAGATAGATAGATATTATTAGATAGCGAGATAGATAGATAGACTTTGATATTATTAGATAGATAGATAGACTAGTTTATGGATATTAACGTACAGAAAAAAGATATGCTGTAAATTAGAATGAATTAGTTAAAGATAAGAAGAATATTTACACAACAATGACATTTTCAGTAAAGTTTATTATTTTATATTATGTAATTATTTTATTTTGTTAAGATTTATTGATAAGTGGTATTGTTTTTCTTAGTTTTCTTTTTTAAGGAGTAATGAAGATGTCTGTGGAAGGTGTTGTGGTGATTTAATAATGTTTTGAGTTAGAAGGATAAGTTATTACACATGTAGAAATATCTTTACCATATCCTGTTGTATTTCCCGCCATGTTGTAGTACTTCATAATTAACCCGGGAACTATTGCACGCCTTATAGCTTCGTGAGGGCGTCCTGGACTCCATGAGAACGTGTGTGTCGACCCTGGAGAACTACGTCCCTCCTACAGTAGCTGGTTCGTCCTCCTCGTCCCTGCCTCTCTCTTCCTCATCACCTCCTTCGTCGTCATCGTCTGCGTTACACAGTTCCTCACTCGCTCACTCTCTCGTGCCCTCGGGTGCCGCAGTTGTTGAGGAGCTGCAGAGTCGTGTGCTTAGTGCCCAGTCCACCCTGCGGGAGATGGACGCCTGGTGCCAAAGACTTCATAGGAATATTCCAGTTGGGTAAGTGGTTGACTGGTTGACTGGTTGGTTGGTTGGTTGGTCGAACCATAAATATGTGTTTGGTTAGTTGCTGAGCCAGGGAATTATATTAGTGGTGGAGCCATAAAATGTGCCAGTTTAGTAGATTGTTGAGCCATTAAGGTATATTTGGTAAGTTGTTGAGCCATAAAGTTACTTAAGGTGAGTACGGTATGGTGTTACTTTACTTAATCCTCTTCACTGATCGGCTCGTTAGCTGCTTGGGCGGTCGGTCACGTCTCTGTTACGGACTGTTGGCAAGTACCGGGCATGTACTGGCTCCTGAATATATCTGTACCTGCTCCATTGTTGGTTAAGTCTGGTCTTGGAGGAGCTCACCGTCACAACTCTCACTACAGATGTTTGCCCTGATAAATTATTGAACTTGTGGCTGCTTTAACCTGAGGCTGTGACCTCTAGCGGGGCGAACATCCGCTAGTTCCAGGTATGAACACTCGACTGAGTAATGTCCTCTGAGGTGTTTGTAGACTTGTATCAAGTCACTCATTGTTCTTCTAGTTATTTAACTATTCTTAATCAGTTGGTCATTAAAGTGATACTCGGCGGCTTTTCACACAGTATTAAATCCTCCATGTAACTCATCCCGATAGTTCTGGTCAGGTATACTTACCAGTTAATTATGTAAATACTCACATCCTTAACGTTTATGTAGGTTAGGTTTCGATGGATTAAGTGTTTGCAATTATTCAGACGGCGCCAGTGTTGTGTGTGCGTGCGTGAGTGTTTGTGAGTGTGTGTGTAAAAATTGGGACATGTTAGTTGGTGAGGGTGACTGTCCTCAGCAGTAATGGAGGTCATCTTGGTGTTTTCAGGTCATGGTTTACGGAATGTCGAAATCTAGTTGACACAGTTGACTCGGTGACCCGACTTGTGTTGTCCCACAAGAAGGCTGAGTCATTGCGACTTCTACAACTGTATCAAGAGGCAAACTCGGTAAGTACAGAATTTTATTATTTGTGTTGAGTTGACTGTCCTTTGGGTAAACACCGGAACGTAAAATACCTGCCATACCTGTTGTTTTGACAGATACATTAATATTCCAGTACATCCATATGTTTTTACACTTAATAAGGAACTTTTAAAGCTCTTCGTAACTTATTTTCAAAGTGATCGTTTGAAAAGTGAATATTATAAGAACACTCAATGTTGTGTAGTTACTGTGAGAAAATTTACCGTTTTCTGTAATAATGTTGCCAGACAATTTTCTTTAATAGCGTTGGAGGGGAAGCTTTCTCATTTTATGGCACTCCGTCCATTTTCCTTCCCACGTTTGTATACTCAATCTATTAGTGTGATATATTTATTGTAGCATTATCCAGGTAATAATTATTCAAGTACACCATATTATTATTATTATTATTATTATTATTATTATTATTATTATTATTATTATTAGAATGGGATATGTATAACTTTCGGCATCATTTTGGTGGTCAGAAATTAAAAATTTCGCCACATTAAACTGAAGAACCGTACATACTTAAAAAAGTGTACACGACATCATGACTTCTACTTTAAACTGATTATTATTGTCTGTCAGTGAGGAAGACGAACAAAGAAACTTAAAACGGAAGAGACTTGAGTCGTATGGCGTGTGTGATCCTTAATAGACGGGAGTGGGGGAGGAGGGTACAGCGACGTCACGTTCCCATTGTCACGGTGACCGCCCGCCATGTTCAACCTCACGATAAAGCTGCATTTACCTCTTGTGTATTCACGGAGCTGTGTGACTGACGCCTCCTGTGATGTAGAGAAACCAGAGAGACGGTAACGTTTATTGATTCACTTGACGTATTGTATTGATTCACTTGACGCATTGTGAGGTAACATTGATTCACTTGACGCATTGTGAGATTACATATATATAACCTAACTTGTAATTTCTAACACCAGAACAACATGCTAGATTAGGTTAGTGTGTACGGACATAAACACCTCATCATCCCTAAGTAGTGGTGTTGACTGACCACTTCCCGTTAATTCACTTTCATTTGTTTTCTTCCTAGCTTCTTCCCCTTTGCATTTATATTCTCGTATACACACTGAGGCTCTTCTTGGTACGCTCAGTTGACCTCGTGCGTGTGAAGGCCGTTTGCTTCCTACATCAACACTAACGCAGATACATTCAGACCCGGATCTATTATGTACTTGTAGCCCGTCACAGTTCATCTATATAATCCGTTTTTCCCCGTCGTCCTGAGGTACTTTTAAGTGTTGTGGTTTAAATGGTTTAAAATGGATGGTTTAAGTTTGTTTACGATGGTCGGGGTGGGTGGGTGGGGTGGGTGGGTTATTTAGTATTTTGTTTGCGGTTTATTGTCGTTGTTCTTGATAGTGAAAGGTGTTGTTCTTGTTTACCTTTATTGAAGTTGTGAGAGTAAACTGTTGAATATTTAGCGGGTAAAGTCCCTTCTGTTGGCACCCACACACACCTCTCTCTCTCTTGTGTTGAGGCGATGGGTTTGATTTCCAGTGAGATGTAACAGAGTGTATTGCTTAAGTCCGTTTAGCATAATAGGTAATTTTTTCTTAATAATTCACTGACCCCAAAACAGACGTCGTCAAAGGTGGCGGACGCGCAAAGGATTATGGGATGTGTGACGTCAGTAACATGTCTATTGATGATAATCGTAATAAATGGCATCTCAATTAGTGACTTAAGAACTGTTTATACGCATTAGAAACCACCGGTGTGTGCTTTACTTATTGGAGAACGTAAATTAATACACATTGCTTACTTGGTTTAAGATCCCTACTTATCATTACTCCTAAATCTTTCTCACAGTCGGATTTCTCTATAACAACGTTGTTCGTTTGTGATCTGGTTTCTTTGTTTACATCTCCTATACTGAGTACTTTACATTTGTCCACATTGAATTTCATCTGCCATTTTTCAGACCATTCGAAATTTTTTTTTAGATCTTCCTGTAGTTTTGCGGAGTCCTCGTCAAATTTGATTATACGTCCTATTTTAGTGTCATCAGCAAATTTACTTATGTTGCTGTCTATGCCGATATCTATGTCGTTTATGTATATAATAAATAGTAATGGTCCAAGTACTGAGCCTTGGGGTACTCCACTAGTGACGTTATTCCAATGCAATTTAGTGCCGTTAATGCTCACTCGCTGTTTCCTGTCCTGTACCAACGCACTAATCCATTTTAGAATATCTCCTTTGATGCCATGAGCCTCCACTTTTCTTATTAGTCTTTCGTGGGGGACTCTGTCGAAGGCTTTGCTAAAGTCGAGGTATACCACATCATAATCGTGCCCGTCATCCACTGATTCAAAAACAGATGAAATTTTTTTAATAGATTAGTCAGACATGAACGCCCGCTTGTGAAGCCATGTTGGGAATCATTGATCAACTTCTGTTTCTCCAGGTGATTTCGAATAGAGTTTGAAACTATTACTTTCAGCAATTTGCCTACAATTAATTGATGTTAAGCTGATTGGTCGGTAGTTAGAGGATAGTGATCTATCTCCCTTCTTGAAAATCTGTATTACATTCACTATCCTCCAGGATTCTGATACTACACCCGTTTTTAGGGACATGTTAAACAAATTTGCTAAGGGCATACTAATCTCTTCCTTGCATTCATTTAATACTCTGGCAAATATCTCATCGGGACCAGGTGACTTATAAGGCTTTAGTTTGTCTATTTGCTTACTAACATCGTTACTAGTCACTACTATCTCGCTTAATTTATTTTCTTCACTATCTCTGTATAGAGTCGGTGCCTCGGGTATCAAGTTTAAATTTTCGGTGGTGAAAACTATTGAAAAATATTTATTCAGATTATTGCTCATTTCTCCGTCGTTATCAGTTAGCTCGTCGGTATCTGACTGTGTTGGTCCAATCTTTTCTCGTGTTTTAGTTTGATACATTTGAAATAATCCCTTGGGTTTGACTTCGCCTCCCTTGCTACCTTCAGTTCATTATTCCTCTTTGCTTTTCTTATCTCTGTCTCAACCCTACTGGCCAATACCTTATAATAATCTCGGAGGTAAACTTCACCACCATTTCCTACCTATAGCTATACGGTAGAGCCTTAAGTCAACAAACTGCAGTCTTCACGTTCTGTTACCCAGCCAGATTGATGACTCGTGTAGCAGCGTGTGGGAGTGATTGATGTTCTTGTAAGATAAGTTTACCTGCCTTATTTTCTGGGCTAATGGACACGTGGACATATTTTATTTATTGTTTATTTATTTTTGGGGCACTACATTTATTTTAGATGTTAAAGAAAGCTGCAGTGAATATTTGTTTTTATTTCTTAAGATTTTGTTAGGTTAGGTTAGGGGGGGGGAGGTGAATGAAGTTTATGAGATGTAACTTGACAATACAAAGGACAGGTGACTCTAATTAATGAACGTAAGTTACCTGTTCTCAGTACTTAAATAGGACAGCCTTTAGACGTATATTGGTAAAGAAGGATTTTTAGAGACTGGCGGAAGGCCTTGACCCTCACCTCACCTCACCTCACCTCACCTCACCTCACGCCGTCGAGGTATCCGGAAATATCTTCGTGTTTAGAGTCGATTATAACACCGTTACATGTACACAGGTTAGGTTAGGTTAGGTTTACGTACAGTATAGGATAGGTAGGTAACTGATGGAGGCAGGTTGTTGACTGTGGGAAGCGGGAGGGAGGTTAACGACCCTTACACACACACACACTTCCTCATCATCTCATTTATTATAACTTTTAGCTGTGTCTGAGTACCACCACAAGCTTCTGGTACTTCACTGGCTTGTTGTTTTAGCTGTAAGACAACAAGTGTATCGAAGAACAAGTAATGTTAACCTGAGGTAGAAGGAATGTTATAATTTTAATCCTAACCGTGTGTGTGTGTGTGTGTGTGTGTGTGTTAAAATATAAGTTCCTACGTGATAATAAAGTGAGCAAACCCCCCTCCTAATTCCTCCCATCTCTCACCCACCCACTTCACCCTCCCCCCTCACCCCCCCCTTAATGGAGAGGCATCCAGGGAGAGCACTAATTACACTGAGAGGGACGACGACAGGTGAGCGGTAGTCAAAGGGTCGCGGTGAACCACAGGAGACCGTAAGATCTGTCAGTTTCACCGTCTCCTGGACAGATTTGAGCCCGGTGTTGTCTCTTTCCGTGTCTGTCTGTCTGTCTGTCTCGTTGGTGTCGTATTATTATTATTATTGGTATATTTTGGTAATTATAGAGGTATATCTGACATGGTGTAGTTATACATGTAATGGTATATACCTGACTCACAACGTATACCTGAATCCGTTAATTGTATACCTGACTTGGCTCTGGACTTGGATAACATTGCACGTTTAATTTCCCGCCCAAATTATATGTGACATCAGAATGGCACCAAGAAGACTAGACGGCTGTAACTCCCGTGTGTTTTCTTGCAGTCTGTTACGGGGGATAGAGATGACGAACGCTATCTTTGAATCCGGATCTCTGTCAGTCAGCAGCCATGAGCGTTTTTGTTGAGTATTGTTGCTGTTGTGGTTGACAAGATTAATTACGCTTCTGACTAATGACTTCCTGTTCGTCTCTAAGGGTCATTATTAAAGAAGTAAAATGTCCGTTTCTGTGTCTGTGTATACTGATGACTATAAAGCATTGATTTTAAAAGTTCCCATCGCATTTTTTTTGGTCCCTACACTGAGGAAATTTCTAAAATATTAAGAAAAATTTATAAAAGATAGAGAAATGATACTAATGTGTGGAGTGTTAATGATCAGGTGTTCTTAGGAAGGTAAACGAAAGGGAGGGTAGAGGGGGGTGGCGGGGAGGGGTAGAGGAGGGGCGTGGAGGGGTAGAGGGGGTGATGGGGAGGGGTAGAGGGGAGGGTGGGGAGGGGTAGAGGGAGGTGGCGGGGAGGGGTAGAGGAGGGGTGGGGAGGGGTAGAGGAGGGGCGTGGAGGGGTAGAGGGGGGGTGACGGGGAGGGGTAGAGGAGGGGTGGGGAGGAGGGTGGCGGGGAGGGCAGAGGAGGGGTGTAGAGGGTAGAGGAGGGGGCGTAGAGGGGTAGAGGAGGGGCGTGGAGGGGTAGAGGGTGGTGACGTGGAGGGGTAGAGGAGGGGGCGTGGAGGGGTAGAGGGGGGTGACGTGGAGAGGTAGAGAGGGGGGTTACTGGCTCCTCCTTGGTTTCTCTCCCGTCGTCTACATCTGCCAAAAAATATTCTGACTGGACCTTCCATTGTGAGGCGTTATGGTCACCCACACTGTAAGACTTTCTCCCCAGTGTCGGGATCTACCGTCTCCCCAGTTTACACCCCCCGCCACCCCCACACCTCCCCTCTCCCCCCACACCTCCACCCCACCACCCAATCAGACTCGTTCCTGTCCCACATATTAAGTTCCCATACACAGTATTAACTTTTTTTGAGGTTTTATGTAACTGCCGTTGTGTATCTTAACCTTTCTTTCTTTCTTCCTGCCTTTCTTTCTTTCTTTCTTTCTTTCTTTCTTCACGAGCAAGTTTGTGTGTGTGTGAGAGAGAGAGAGAGAGATTCACTCACTCGTGAAGACACTCGTGGCGGTATTTACTCAGCTCACCACAAGAGTATCCTGCACTCAGAAAGATTCTCTCATAGGTAAAGATAATAAAGAGTTATCAGTAATGGTTCAAGTCTTGTGGGGTGAAGGTACTACTCGAGCGTGACTGACGAGTGAGGAAGAGAAGGTGGTAGTAGTGGAGGAGGAGGAGGTGGTGGTGGTGGTGGTGAAGGAGGTAGTGAGCGGTGGGGGTGGTGTTGATGGAGGAAGTGATAATATTGGTGGTGGAGATGGTGTTGGTGTTGGTGGAGAAGGTGGTGGTGTTGCTGTTGGAGAAGGAGGAGGGATAGTGTAAGTGATTTCTGGATTGATAGACTGATAACGAACGACCTCTGATATTTAACGAGGGAGGGAGGGTGAGGGGGGGGGAGTGGAGATGTTCGGGGTTATATCGCGTGTACGACGTTAGGTTTACTCCTACACCTGTCGTCGTTCAGGTAAATAAATGCCAAATGTTACCTGGAAGAGATTCGTGGTGTCAGTGGGTAGAAGGTGGTGTCAGTGTGGTGTCAGTGGGCAGAGGGTGGTGATAGTTGGCAGAGGTTGGTGTCAGTATGCTCCCCAGTAAACACTGCTCCCTACACTGTCACTATGTTGAAATGAACTGTAGTTTGAGCTGATCCCCATCTGCTACTATATGTCTTATTTGTGTCACTTATGTCACTTGTATATTATTTGTAATTGTAACCCATTCCCCAAATATGTAACTGTATATTTTCAGCCTTCTGGCTGCCAAGCTTCTTTCAATAAACCGTTAATTATTATTATTATTATTATTATTATTATGATGTCAGTGGGTACAGGGTGGTGTCAGTGGATAGAAGGTGGTGTTAGCTGGCAGAGGTTGGTGTCAGTATGATGTCAGTGGGTAGAGGGTGATGTCACTATGGTGGTGTCATTGGGCAGAAGATGGTGGCAGTGGGTTAATGTCGTATTTGCGAGAGGAGGGGAAAGTCCAGTTCTGCTTGACTAGGCAGACGTTCGCCCGTGGGAACCTCCACCATCCGCTACTTTACCCACACCACCACCCACTACTTCACCTGCACCACCACCCACTACTTCACCTGCACCACCTTCAGGAAATTTACACTCGTTAACTATGATGACTGACAGCCGGGGTAGGGGGGGAGTCCCTCAGCTTAATAACATATAATCGCTATTAAGTTTAATTTTCAGGCTATTATGTCGCTTTTGTGTGGTCTTTTGTCGTTACTCCCTCTACCGTCGTCACTCACCATACCATCGTCACTCCCTCTACCATCGTCACTCCCTCCGTGTATTGATGTACTGTAGATGGTGTTACCTGTATCGTCTTTTTAATTAGTGGTTGAATGATTGACTATAGGTATTGGGGCAGTACGGTGTGTGGGTGGTGTGGGGGAGACAAGGGTGTGGATGGTGTTAGTGTTGAGTGTCTACGTAGGGTGTGGGTGGAGTGGCGTGGGTGTTGGTGGATAGGGTGAAGGTGGAGTAGTGTGGATGCGGGGTTGGATATGTGGTATGGGTACGGTTGTGTAGGTATGCAGGTGTGAATGGGGTGGTTTGGGTTGGGATTGGGCAGGGGGTGGGAAGTGCGAGTGTGGAAGGGATGTGGGTGTGGTGGCTTGGGTGGGCGGGTGGGCGGGGGTTGAAGCTCGCGGTGCCAGGTAGCGCGGGTCGGCGCCAGGTCCGGTCCGGCACCAGTCGCCAGTTGGCCGGACGTCCGCACACAGTCAAGAGCGAGAGCGAGGAGCCACACTCACCACCCGTCAGTGTTTACCCAGTGGACCGCCAGAGCGTGTGACTGTCCCTCTTGTGCTGGAGAATAATACCTGACGTTTTGTGATTGGTGAAAAAAAAAGTGTTTTTTTTAGAGAGTTTGTGTGTTCTTCCCGACACTTGTGATTGAGAATTTTTACAACTTGTGTGTGTATAACGTGAGAAGCGACTGATTTAGTGAAGGAGTGTGGAGGTGAGGACAGTGAGGTGGGTGTTAGTGCCGTGTGGTGAAGATGGCCTTAGTGTGTAGGTCTCTGGTGACACGGGTGGCGGCCCCCTGCTGAGTGCCACTGACCTGCCCGTTGCCACGGTGATGCCAGGGCCAGGCTGCGGTGGCGGCTACATGCTCGTCACCAACATGGCACCAGGGGGACCAGTCAAGCTTCGTGTGCTGCATGCTCCCCCACACACGCCCACACCTGCCCCGGTCTCCCCCGTGCCCCGTACCCACCTGAGGGAGCGTCGCATGGGACTTGTGCTCTCAGGACCCCCAAGGGAGCTAACAGAGGCCCTAACCCTACCCGCCCAGCTCCTCCTCCCCACCACCCTCACTCTGCCCGCTACATCACCCTCACCCCCTCCCCCCCCGTCACCTATAACACCCACAACCCCGATACACTCACCTACTACACCCACGTCACCGACACACAAACCACTGACATACACATTATCACCACAGTCCTCCACCTCGCTGACGTCCTCGACACAGCCAGGTACTAAAATGACGTCCTCGTCACATCCTGGCATCATAGTGACGTCCTCGTCACACCCAGGCACTACAGTGACGTCCTCGACACAGCCAGGTACTAAAGTGACGTCCTCGTCACAGTCAGACACTACGGTGACGTCCTCGACACAGCCAGGTACTATAGTGATGTCCTCGTCACATCATGGCATCATAGTGACGTCCTCGTCACAGCCAGGCACTACAGTGACGTCCTCGTCACAGCCAGGCACTACAGTGACGCCCTTGTCACAGCCAGGTACCTTATTGACGTCCTCGTCACAGCCAGGCACCACAGTGACGTCTTCGTCACAGCCAGGCACCATACACAGCACTACGACATCACCCTTGGCCAGACCCACAACACTACAGCTCTCCACCACCTCCGTCCCTGCCTCACCACCTCCCACTCCTGCTGGTATACTCACCACCACCACACACAACTACTTCGCCGCCGAAGACCATGAACCCACATCACCCACACAAGAGTTACCTACGCCATCGTCTGACACTCCTGCGTCCACGACGGACTCCCCAGCGGCGATCCTGGAGCGTCTTCAGGCGACCAACTCATACCCCTGGGTGTCTGTAAGTGAACACCACAACACATTCTTCTCTCCTCATGCAGTTTCCTTTTCTTTATATGCCGTGTGTGTGTGTGTGTGTGTGTGTGTGTGTGTGTGTGTGTGTGTGTGTGTGTGTGTGTGTGTGTGTGTGTGTGTGTGTGTGTGTGTGTGTGTTCATTTAATTATGCCTGTACTACCCTCTTTTCATCATAGACGCTGTGGTAGTTACTGTGAGTCCTAACGAGAGACCTGCCCTTCCGTAGAGGATGTGGGTCATTTAGCACCTTACTGTGCAGCTAGACAGACATTGGTTCAGTGTGTACTTGACAGTGCAGGTACAGTAGACAAACATTGGGTGAATGGCAAGTCTCTTTAACCCAAGAATGTGTTTAAGAAGGCTTTTAAGAGGTTGTCTCCTCTCTTAGGGGGGTGGGGGGAAGGAGGTGGAGGGATGTGATTGAGGGGGGTGGGGGGAGGTGATTGAGGGGGGTGGGGCGTTTGGAACACTTGTCTGGATCACGTCCATTGTGGTATAGGCCCACCTCAACCACCACTATTACCACGCCTTCCTGCTCCCCCCTCCTGCCTCACCACCACTATCATTATCAATACCACCACCACCGGCCCCACCCCATCCCCCCCCTGTGGAAATGTTAAGCTGCGTGCGTGTGTGTGTTAACCATCTTACTCCACAAACCTCCTAAATTTAAGGTCAAAGGTCATACATCAACTTAACACCCTGTACCGTCAACAAACATTAACCAAATTTCGCCATCAAGGTCATAGGTCACCCCCTCTCCCTCCCCCTCCCTCTTCCCCCTCCTCACTCACCCCTCACCAGATGTAACAAGTACCGCTAGTCTACTTTCTTCTTTTGTTTTTACCACATTAGAAAATTATTGTTGTCATTTCAATAGCGATAATAATTGAAGAGCCAAAGACAATTGATGGCTTCCTGTGTAACGCGTGGGGCTCTCCTGCTGCCTCCGTCCTCCACAACTCTGGGTTTTTGTCACTCAATATCACCTCTGGCTGAGTAGATCGTGGGGGAGGGGGGGATGGAGAGAGTACCTGTGAAACATTATTAAGACCACCTATGAAGACTGGGTTTTTTTTAATTAAGTTTACCTGTGATGATTAATTTGAGTACCTGTGAAGATTTATTAGAGTACCTGTGAAGATCAATTTGAGTACCTGTGAAAATTTTTAATTAACATTAGTTGTTATTTAGTAAACAAACCGTGACTTCAAAAGGATGAAACCAAAATGAATTCAAGACAAACTGTGTGTGTGTGTGTGTGTGTGTGTGTGTGTGTGTGTGTGTGTGTGTGTGTAGAGTGGGCCGTGAGTGTTTTGTGTGTCAGCTCGCCAGAGAGGTGTGTGTGTGGTGTACAGATGTGATGTGTTGAGGTGTTCCCTGACCACCAGGGGGGTTACCTCCCCTGCCCCCCCCCCTTCTCTCGCTCACTCGCTCTCTCTCTCGGGGCGAGGATCATCGTCTTCTTAAGGTAGTGCCATTGTTGTTGTTACCTGTGTCCATCACCTGTCAATTGTACCGTCATTAATACCATCAACCTGTGCCCGTCACCTGCCTTCAGTTATACTATCGTCTTTCTCAACACACACACACACACACACACACACACACACTGCCCAGCTGAATAATCGAGTTCAATAGACTTAACAATTTTTTTTAGGAGGGGGGAGGGGGGTGAAGAGGATCGGCTGGGGAGGGGAGGGGAATCCAACTTTCAAAACATGAAGATCAAATATTTCACCATTAAGAGCATCACCACAAGAAACTGCTATTGTCTTTAATAAATGCATTGTACTCAAGACCGGGAGTGCAGTGTTAGTCATCTTGGATCCAGAAGAGGGTCTGAAAAAAGCTGTAGAACGCGTGATTAGATTTACAGGTGTCTTGAGAGGTGTAATGCCGGCAGTCGAGTCACCTGGAAATTTCGTAATGATTAAAGACTACGAGAGAGAAAAGTTCACTGAGATGATGAACACAGAGAGAACAAAGAAGGAAGAGGGTGAGGGTGTGTGTGTGTGTGTGTGTGTGTGTGTGTGTGTGTGTGTGTGTGTGTGTGTGTGTGTGTGTGTGTGTGTGTGTGTGTGTGTGTGTGTGTGTGTGTGTGTGTGTGTGTGTGCGAAATCATTGTACTCAAAGGGTTATTTTCGTATTCAAAGGAGTATATCACTGTACTCAAGGGGTTAAAACCAGAGTACACCTACCGAGTGAAAGTTAAAGTGGAGGTGTTTATAGTGGGAGGGAAACTGTATACAAACACACAGGTATCCTTGATTGTCTTAATTACTCACCTGTGTACTAGTGCCATTTTCCCACGGTCAGCAAAGGGTAAAACAATATCTCTGGAATTTTAGCTTAGAAATATGATAATAAATATAGAAATGGAGAATAAAAGGATATTGTATTAGACTTTAATGATAAAAAGGTTTGTAAAGAGGGAAAGTAACCTTGCCTTAATCTATAGGTGTTGTGTTTGGTTGTGTCGTGTCGCCAGTGGAACCCTAAACACACATACAGGTCCTCCCTACATGTTTGTTTTTGCTGGTTGTGATTGTGGTTGTTGATTGTGGTTGTTGATTGTGGTTGTAGCTGTATTGTGAGTGTTGGTTGTGTGGTCCAGTTAACCTGTCTCATCCTCATGGTAGTAAGTTATTCCTCAACATGTACGTATGTGTCTTTACAAGCACGATCACGTACACACTCACACATGTACTCAATTACGTACGCACACGCATGGATGGATGGACCTGCCCACACATACGCACACACATACCCACACGAATACACTAAGACATGGCGCCGTCACACACACACCTACACACACACACACACACACCCATGTATGTATGTCTCGTGTGTCTATGTATATCAAGTATGTGTCTGTGTCTGTCTGTCATCGAAAGTAAATATGAGGCAGGTGAAGGGGGAGGACAGACAGGTAGGGTTGTGTGTGAGACCAGGTAGGTGGTAATTAGTCGCCAGGTGGGAGAGTCACGTGTGAGTTTTTGTCTACATATACCTGAGGTTTTGTCTACATATACCTGAGGTTTTGTCTACATATACCTGAGGTTTTGTCTACATATACCTGAGGTTTTGTCTACATATACCTGAGGTTTTGTCTACATATACCTGAGGTTTTGTCTACATATACCTGAGGTTTTGTTTACATATACCTGAGGTTTTGTCTACATATACCTGAGGTTTTGTCTACATATACCTGAGGTTTTGTCTACATTTACCTGAGGTTTTGTTTCGGCTTTTTGCTAATTTTCTCTTTATATGTTACATGACAGTAAGTATAATTGGATACCGTGTGTGTGTGTGTGTGTGTGTGTGTGTGTGTGTGTGTGGAAGGAAGCGTAGTGCCGGGGCGGAGTATTCAATATACCGTGATTGAAGGCACTAGTTATGGACACACACACACACACACACACACACACACACACACACACACACACACACACACACACTACACTCAATTTTCATTCTCATTATAACTAAACAAATATATATCTTTCAATATTTTTCTTATTCTTGAAAAACTCACAAAATTATATATAATTTTATTTAATATTTTCCTCGTGCTTGACACCGAGGGGAAAGTTAATTAGATGATTAGATTATCCCGAAATGTACCTTAATTGGCGGCCTTAATTATCAAGGTGAGCATTAACAAAAGAGACAGGTGTATCAAGAAGCAAAACCAGATTAAAGAGAAAAAAAAATAATGGGGGGTGATACTAATTATACCGTGTAAATATTGGGGTAATTAGTGGAAGTGTGTAGCGGGACTAATTAGTGGGTGTGGGTGGTGATTACCGGAGCGTGGGTGACTTCTGTGAGGTGATTTCGACCTTACATCACTGTCTGTCCTAACCTGACCTGACCTGACCTGACCTGACATAAGGTTGGTCAACGTCTCTTCCATCAGCTGCTATCATTACGTCATCGTACTCAAGGGGTTAAATCGTCGTACTCAAGGGGTAAATCGTCGTACTCAAGGGGTTAAATAAGAACATAAGTAAATAAGGAGTCTGCAATAAGCCGGTTGGCCACTCGTCCACCACCCTATTTGTGAACCAGTTCCTTCCTATCTCCCTCCTAAACCTAAACTTATCCAACTTAAATCCGTTGTTCCGAGTCCTATCCTGCTCGGATATTATAAGAACTTTATCTATATCCCCTTTATTGATTCCTTTCACCCACTTGAATACTTCTATCATATCTCCCCGCACTCTTCGTCTTTCTAGGGAATGCAAGTTTAGTTTCTTTAACCTATCCTGATATGGAAGGTTTCTAAGTCCCGGAATCATTTTCGTCATTCTTCGCTGCACCGACTCTAGTGAATTGATATCCATTCTATAATAAGGGCACCAGAACTGAACCGCATAATCGAGGTGCTCAAGGAGTTAAATCATCGTACTCGAGGGGTTAAATCATCGTACTCAAGGAGTTAAGTCATCGTACTCAAGAGGTTAAATCATCGTACTTAAGGGGTTAAATCACCGTACTCGAGGGGTTAAATCACCGTACTTAAGGGGTTAAATCACCGTACTTAAGGGGTTAAATCATCGTACTCAAGGGGTTAAATCATCGTTCTCAAGGGGTTAAATCATCGTACTCAAGGGGTTAAATCATCGTACACAAGGGGTTAAATCATCGTACTCAAGGGGTTAAGTCATCGTACTCAAGGGGTTAAATCATCGTACTCAAGGGGTTAAATCATCGTACTCAAGGGGTTAAATCATCGTACTCAAGGGGTTGAATCATCGTACACAAGGGTTAAATCATCGTACTACAAGGGGTTAAATCATCGTACTCAAGGGGTTAAATCATCGTACACAAGGGGTTAAATCATCGTACACAAGGGGTTAAATCATCGTACACAAGGGGTTAAATCATCGTACTCAAATACAGACATGGGGCCGATTATACCATTTGATTATAATTAGGCTTTTAATTAATCATCACAATAAAAACTAATTATG